TCATCTTCGACAAAATCAAGTTTTCATCGCTATCTCTACCAACATTTTCACCTTCATCTAGCCTGCTTTTGTAGCTTTCCCAATGATCAACTCATTAGTAATCCTTAATGTATTAAGGTTGCTTGATTGGATTCTCCATAGTAAAGCTTTGTTGCTCATCGTCTATCCTCAAGACTATCTTATTAGTATCAAAATCCAGCAACGCTCGACTTGTAGACAAGAATGGCTTTCCTAGAATTATTGGCATCTGATATGCCTTTTCCATGTCAAGGATGATGAAATCAGCTGGAAAAATAAACTCCCTCACCTTGAGAAACATGTTTTCGACTATTTCGTAGGTGTATTTCAGTGATCTATTTGCCAGTTGAAGGATGATAGAAGCAGCCTTGGGGTCTCCCAATCCTATTTTCCTGTAAAGAGGCAAGGGAATTAAGTTAATACTTGTTCCTAAATCAATTAAACAATTAATACTCTGTAAATTTCCTATGGAGCAAAGTATAGCGAAACTCTCTAGATCTCTAAGTTTGGGAGGGATCATACACTGAATTATCATGCTACATTCTTCAGATAAAGCTATTATTTTATGTTTGTGCAGATTCCTCTTCTTGTTCAACATCTCTTTGAAGAACTTGGAGTAGTTTGGAATTTGAAGGATCGCATCAATGAAAGGGATGTTGACATGCAGCATTTTAAGGACTTCCGAGAATTTTGTGAACTGCTTCTCTAGCTTGATATTTTTCAACGTTTGAGGAAATGGAACTGGGTGTGCAAATGCTTTGATTGAAACTTTACTTCAACTTGTGGACTATCTGAAGGTATTTGTCGATCATTCTATGTTGATTTTTCAAAATACTCCACTTGTTCCTTGCCCTTTGTAGATTCCTGAATATTCTCTATCTCTTTTTTTGTTGTGGTGATTTCTAATAGCTGAACATCGCTTCTAGTAGTGATATCCTAAACCTGCTGTACTGTAGGTTGCCTTTGCAGTCTCTAAGGAAATGGAATGGATGGCATATGTGCCTTCATAGGGTTGGCGAAAGTGAATGATGGAAGCTCAATAGTTGCATAATTTACCGCCTCAACTGCTAATACTTGCTCCTGTAGGTTCTTCTTCGTGTCACTCGGTAAAGTACTCGGTGGTCTATTAGCTATTGTAGCTACGATCTATCCTACCTGTTGTTCTGAATTCTTGAAAGACGCATGCTGATTCTGAAAGTTGGTTTCAATCTTAATAACTTACTGAGATAGAAAATCTTCCAACGATGGCTTTCTCACTTGCTGTTGTCACTGTTGTTGAAACCCTGGTAGTCTATTCTGATTGTTTTCCCTCTATCCATGTCCTTACCTCTGATTGTTAGATCATGAAAAGTTTGGATGATTTCTTTATCCCGAATTATATGTGTTGAAGTAGGGGTTGTTTTGCTGTGTCTGGTAGTTCTGCGTGTAGCTCACTTTCTCAAGCTGATTAACATGTGTAGAAACTAAAGGACAGCATGTAGTAGCATGATCCGCTCCACAACCTTCCCAAATAGGTGTCAATGGATGTACCATGTTAACTGATTTAGATAGATTGTTCATTTTCATTGTAAGGACTTCCATTTGCATGGCCAGTGCTATCATTGCATCCACATTATGTAACCCTACTATTTTCCTTGGAGCTTTCCTATCGGTTAGTCACATCGATTGATTTTCACCTATTTTTTCAAACAAATTGTAGGCCTCATCGACGTCATGTTTCATCACCGATCCTCCCACTGAAACGTCTATTATATTCTTGAACTCATGTTTATAGACCGTAATAGAAAAGATACTGCTGAGCCTGTAGGAATGTCAAAGCTAGGGCATTTCCTGAAATAATTCTAGAACTTCTTCCATGCCTCAGGGCAGCTCTCGAAGTCATTCTGCTTGAAGGTATGAACTTCATTCCTGATTTGGTGAACTCAAGAAGGTGGGAAAATTTTTATCGTAAATTTTTGAGTCATATCATTCCATGAGTGTATGCTCCCTAAAGGTAAACAATGAAACTATGCTCTAGCGACATCCTTCAAAGTATGAGAAAATAACAGCATTTGGAATGTGTTTGCTAATATACCTTAGTGACTGATCACTTCACACAACATGAGAAACGCCCAAATATGTTCCCGAGGATTCTCCATGGCTTTTCCAAAAAAAACCCGATGTCTTGGTGCTTTCGAAACAGATTGATGACATCTGGTCTGAGGTGGAAATTAGGCTGTCCAAATGGAGGATATACCACGACAGGTTGCACTAGTATTGGAATTAGATTGACATAATTCCCAACTAAAATAGGAGTTTCGTTTTGGATAGCTCTCGGATGGTTTGGCTGCGGTATTTGTTTATGAAGCTAAACCTGATTCTGTGGTTGACTTTGGTTATTTGCCATTCTCCTTGCTTGACATTGAACTCTTCTGCGTTTTTTGAATGTTTTTTTGATTTCGTGATTTAACGGAAAGAGATGTGCTCGTCAGGATTTTGCATATACCAAATTAGCCTGCAAATAGTCAAGACATAAGAGAATTAAGTAGTCTAATAGTAGCCTAAAAGCAACAAAAATAAGATAAAAATGAATTTAAAATATCTAATAACTAAAATTAACACCGTTATTCTTTTTTTAACTTGAATTACCAAATAAAATATTGGCGGGGTTTTCTAAATTAGAAACACAGAATTAATTAAAATGCATCACATGTTAAAATTGAAAGAAAATCTTTCTTGTGTACACATTTATGCAAAATCAAGACTGCAAAAGTAGTGACTTTTCATTTTTCTTTTTCTTTTCCTTTTCCATTTTGCCTTTTCACCTAAGTTCAAAGGCGAGGTTTCACATTATGTTTTAGTAGTTTCTAAACGAATTTAATGAAATTCAATAAAGCTGATTTGTTTTATTTAAAGTTTAGTCAACTCTTCCTTAGTCAATGAAATAGTGTTGGACATGAGAAGAATGTGTTTACCAAAACTTTGTGAATCAGATGGTTGTTACATAAGGAATTCTTTATGCTTTTAGTCCTTGTGTTGATTTAAACAAAAATCAGATTATTAGTGAATTTTTATCAAAATTAATGAAATATATAATTAAAAAGTTGTGAAACTCGTAAAATATGTATTTGTTTCCTCCAATTGGCGATATAGAATGGAAGAATTTACCTACAAATTCGAACTATTAAGATATGACAGTACTTATATAGTACAAAGTTTTAAGTAGAGTCATACCATATTTAAAAATCATAACACTATCATATATAGTTCTTTTAAAAAGTAACAACTAACATTGAGCAACGGTTTTTCTCCTCAAGTGAAAAATAGGTGATCAAACTTTGTTCTTCTTTTTATTAAGAATCTGGTAATATTTAAAAATGTCAACTTTATTAAGCCCTTGTTTAAGCCTCATTCTTTTGAAAAAATACATTTTTCAACAGTATTTTGATATTATTTCAGCCATACATTTTTCAATAAAATAATATTACACGCAAATCCAAAAGTTTTCCTTATTTTTTAACCACTCATTTCCCATCAATACACTATTCGAAAATTCATTCTCCCCAAAAAAAATGGGGTTTAAACAAGGGCTAAATTTCTGTTTGTCTCCCTGTAAAACAAAACTCTTTTTAAGTTTCATTCTCATTTTCAACTACTCATTTACACAATAAAATACTTTGGAACGTAATGATCTCAAATACCGTATTAAGATTGGAGGTTCCATCTAAAAAAGTCAACCTTATTAAGAAAGCTAAAATTTTATATGTTGGTCTGTATTTTCATCTTTGTTTAAGGTGGAATTTATCCCTTAACACTTTTGTTGTTGTCTTAAGTTATCAAATGGCTCGTGTGGGCAACTATAAGCATACCTGCCGGGGTCGAGATTTTTCATGAACGCCAAAGCTGTTTTATGCATCACAGTCTCAAACAAAATGGGACTTTGTTAAAAAAATCAAAAGCTGGAAATTTACTATAAAATGTTCATTGCATATTGAGAAGTAGAACGAGGCCTTTTTGTGAAATTATAATTACCTTTTCCATTCGCTATGGTCAATGAGTAGACATCATTTTCTGCACTCTATATCATAAATAATAATTTATTTAATTAAAATTCTTTATATATATATAGAAAATGATCTCCTAAACACCGGTGACATGGCAACCATTTAATTGGTGAATAAGTTAACGATAGGTTTCATGTATTTAATAATTCACCAATTAAATAATGTGCTATGTCACCGGTACTTAGCTTACCATGTCACCGGTGCTTAACTTCGGAGATCATCCTAATACATATATATACTGGTTATTTACAAGTATAATTTGTGTACGTCACTTGTGATGTGAGTAGACGGCAAGGTATGGTTACATAACGAAACCAAATAAATCATAATTGACAAGTAGTGAACCAAGTTGCACCGTCCTAAAGAAAATTGGATCTTGATAGCTCTTAGTAGCAGCTGCTCTAATACCATAAAGAATTTTGTGGAATAATGTAGTTAACTAATCCTACATTAAAGTATGGGTGAAAATTCTCTATGACCACTATACTTTCAACATTATTTCTCAACAATAGTCGAACTTTAAAAAAATTCAGAATACTCACTTTACTTTTAAAGTTGTTTTTTCAACTACTTAATTTAAAAAAAATAAAAAATGTTTAGCGTAATTATTGTAATTTATAGTTGTTTATTAGTCGTTATACCTTTAGCGTTGTTTTCCACCTATCGCTTCAGATCATTTGAAAAGTTAACTATTATTTTTACCAATTTGTAAATGGAAATAAATGGAGAGACATATGTGAAACTAAGTTCAATGTATATTGACAAAAAAAAAAATAAATAAATAAATAAAATTGAAATTTAGTGAACATTGAGAAACAAAGTTAAAGTTGCAGCAGCCATTGAAATTTTTAACCTGTGCAATCAACCCCTGTTTTGTATGGGAAAACATAATTGAAACCTATACAAAGGAAACATTAAATACAATAGAAGAATACACAATGAGGCAGTTGCAAACATAAATTTGAATATTTAAAAATAATAATTATGCTATTTGTACATCCATTACGTACACCGAGATTTACACCCCCTACGTGTCAAAAATCTGACCATTGATTAAAAACGTATTGTTAAAATCAATGCATCTAAATCTGCCAACTCACATGGGTGGGTGTAAATCAAGATGTCAACTTTGGTGTATGTATAACATAGTTCAACTAAAAACAAATGAGAATGAGAAAGAAAATGAAAAATGAGAAAGGGCACCTAACATCTCAAAAGTAACTAGATTGAGATTGCAAGAGTTCAAGTTGTGCCAATAGCTTAGCCACCATTGGTTTCAATATAGGATCGCCATTTTTTGCTAGATCAATGAGAAGCATTTGTGCAGATTGACCATACTCTACTCTATGAGCCTCAACACTGAAAATTTTTTCCAATATCCAAAGGGCTTTCTCTTGAGACTTTGCATTCCCTGATTCAATAACTTTCAGAATGGCTTGAATTCCTGAGTTTTTCGATATGTAATTGATCCCATTCTCCCAAATTTCATCTTGTAGAAGTGTTGATAGGCAACTAAGAACCGCTTCATCTGATGCCCTTTCACTACCTTGCAAGAGTTGAATCATTTGAGAAATGGCACCGGTTTTCACTAAACAAAATGTGCTTTTGAGAGAGCAGTATCCATCGTGAACTTCACAAACTGCGTTCGAGGGAGGGATGCAAAACCACCTTGATTTTCTCGACTTACTTAAATGTACAGAATTTTGAGACAGTTGAGTCAAGCAAGTAGCAGCCTTAGATTTAGTAACTGACGAACAACTTGAAAGTAGCTTTAGAAGAACAGGAATTATACCATTCTCAGCAGCATAGTGTTGTAGTTTTTTGTCTGTCGGGATTGTGAACCGGATTAATATACCTGCTATGCTCTCAGTCAACCATATCATTGTAGGGGTCGAAGTTGTAGTTATTGAACTTGCCATGGAAATTAACACGGGCAATAAGTTCTCATTCTTGAGTACATATGTAATTTTCCTGTCATTCACCGGCAAATTGCTTAGTATGCCAAGGGCAGCAGTCTTTTCACACTCATATGTTGATGTTGAAACTATATTTGAAATAGTAGTCAGATGTGTATCCCCAAATTGTTCTCTGAATTCTCCCGGTATATCTTTGGACAGTGTGTAAACCAATTTCAAGGCACCCGTCCTGATTTTAGTGTTGCTTTCCGTAAAGAAAGGTAGGAGGAGCTGAATTGCGCCATTTTCTCTCATTTTCTTCCTGACTTTTGATGCGCGTGATTGGGAGGCAATGTTATTTAGTGCATCTAAGAGATGATTCTGAATTACCGGACTAGAAAGGTTTAAAAGTGATAGTATCTGCTGAGCTACGTCTTGTTTGAAAAGTATATTTTCAGATTGAGAAATCTTTGCAAGAATTGCTGATGCTGGCTCGCGCAGAGTCATGAGAACAGACGTCACAGAGAAAAGAAGCTGCAGAAGAGCTGCTGCAATTCCTGAATGAATCAAGAGTTGGATATTCTCCTTCAAGCATGACAAAGTTTGCAGCGCGTTTAATGCTGAAAGTTTAGCTTCAAGGTTACCCTTGGTGAACATTTTCACAAGCGGTTCAATTGCCCCATCTTCTCCAAGGGAAGCTTTGTTTTGATCTGTGAGTTCCATCCTTGATATCGCTGTTGCCATCAGAACTTTACTCATATCGGAGCCTGCCAAGGAAATTTCGAAAGCTAAAATAGGAACTCCTTCCCAAAATCGAGTACAAAAAGAAACAACACATACCTTCCTTTAGGTAGTGGATTAGAGGCTTGAAGTAACCAGCCTCAGCCATATGAAGAGCATGTTGAGTATTGCTTGACATTGCATCTAGCAATTTTTTTGCATTTCTAGAAGCCTCTTGATCATCTCCATTGGAAATCGTCACCAACATTACAATACATCCTTGCGTTCTCCCAATTCTTCTTCTGACTGCTGGATCATCTGCAAGATTCAATAAAAGCCCTACGGCCTCCCTTTGCTCCTCCACATCCCGAGCCAGTGACTTCACTAATGCTGATAGAAATCCCAAATCCTTCATGTCTTCCTGCACACTACTATAAGTCATATATAACACTTTAAGAATGTTAGGTATGCTAGAGTTTCAAAGACTACATGGGTTACTAAACAGAGTCGTGTTGAAATATTTGTCATTTGCCTTGTCTAATACGGTCCAGTTGAGCCATGAGTGGACACCAGACATTCAATTAATAGTAGGCTACATTAATAATGAGCTCAAAAAGTAATTACAGTACCTTGCTTTGATTATTCTTCGCGATAAGATAGCTTAGTATTTGAATTATAGTCACTCTGTCATCTCCTTTACTCGAACCCAATCGTTGAGATAAAACCTTGATTATACCTTCATCATTCATTCTTTCACTTGAAATCATACCATCCATGATCAGTGTATTTAACCCCAAAAGTGCATTTTTAAATTTGCTGTCCTTACCATTCTTGATCTGCATAATAGCATCATCAATGTCCAATATAATTTTATCCTCCTCTTCCTCTTCCTCTTCCTCTTCCTCCTCCTCCTCCTCCTCCTCTATCTCAATTTCTGTTTTTTCCTCCTCGGTTTCCTCCTCCATCGTTTCATCCTCAGCCTCACTCGGAAATTCTGATTCACGCTCTGAACTCAAATCAATTCTTACATTCATCATTTTCTCACGCAAAGTTTTAATCTTTTCCTTATTAGCTATTGGTACATCATGGCTTGCAAAGAGGACCAGGCCTAGTGATCTTCCCAAATTCTGCGTCAAATCTTCAATATGCTTGGCGGGTGATGATCGGATATTTGGACTTCCAACAACAAATTTGGCACGTCGGAAATCAGTGTCAAGTGATTCAATAGCTTTCTGAATGGTTGGTAGGTCTGCAACCTCATTGCTGTCTTTCATTTCATCAAGAATTGGACTAAGTTTCTCTATGAAAGTCGATAATTCTGCAATAGTCTCTGTTTCTGTTGATGATGATATAAAGCTTTTGGCTGGAGAATCACCAGCTAATGATTGTTTCTCTTGTAAATCTGATATTTCCATTTTCTGGACTCGTTAACAAAAACAGCAAAATTATCTCGAAACTGCACAAGATCCAAACATACCAATATTTGGGAAATTGGAAAGCGATAGTATCACTCTTACATACGCATTAGACTATACAAGATGGAATTTCGATTCTTGAAAGTACACCTTGTATAATTACAGAAAGATGTCTGAAAGAATGATAAGAAAATTGCACCTGTGTTTGCTTGAGAAAGTACATAGAAGAATCATAAGACTGATTTGGAAATTCTCAGCAGACCAGGTCCATATTACAGTTCACACAAGAAGAGGAAAAGAAAATTGGTGAGAGATACATCAAGACTTGGTTTTATTTTTCTACTTCTTTGGCAATCACATAGAAATTTCGAATTTTGAGCAGTAAAAAAATATTGTTTCGTGGAGAGGAAGTGACTATTTCTGTACGCAGATTGTTGAGACAGAGAGAATTGGAAGATTGTTGTTTGTAAGTAAGTGAAGAGAGGCATCTGCCAATACAGAACTATGGCTGACTTGTGAAAGTGATATTATTTTGTTCTTTCATTATATAAAGAAATACTAAACGGGGGAGGAGACCAAGCAACCTATTGTAGTCCGCCCAAAAATAAGCCCCGTCTGAGCCCAATTAAATCTCATCAAATTAAATTAAGTTTTTCTATTTCCTATTTTCAACCACACAATTTTCAATAAAATAATATTATACGTAAAATGAAAATTTCTCATTCTTTTACAGTTATCCATTTTTCGAAAAAACACTATTTCACTATCATAATAAAAAAATAATGAAGGCCAAACGATGGCTAAATACTGCACAAGTTGTGTGACTTTATAAATTCCTTTTACTTAGTCAAACGGAGGATAATTAATATCAGATAGGGATTTTTGGGTCTACTTTTAACAACAATGTGGGGATGGCAACGATCTCTATCTAACTATATTAATATTTGAAATGGTAAAAGGGTAGAAATGTAAAATCATACCTTATCGAAGTTGCCATCT